CCCCCCCAGGCAGGCAGATTGTGCACGGCTCCAGCTGAAAAGGAAAGGTCACCTTATGGGACCACAGGTTTGATCCATTCTGCCCTCTTGAACTCGATGCTCCCTTGGTTTGGGGCCGACTGTTTTGCAGGAAATCAGAAGTGGCAAAGGAAGGGGGGGGAAAGAGCAGCAGAGACCGAGAGGGAACGGAGCCCAGTTCCGTGTGCAATGCATCCACGCACAACCACACCTGGAGAGAGGCTCCACATTATACTCCCAGCATCAAGGAAGGCGACGGAAACCCACAAAAGCTAAAATTCATCTCGAACAAGGCAGTCCTTGCCCCCTCTTCCCTTTTGGAATCTACCAAAAACTAATGGGCCTGCGTCCCCGAAGGCCGAGAAAAGGACCGAAGAGGGTTCGGCCACTGCTTTAGGGATTTTGTTAACTTGACAGCTTCCTAGCCCTTAAAAAAAAGAGAGTTTTTAGCAGTCAAAATGGAGGGTTGTACCTCCAGAAGCCCCCAGGGGAGGAGCCACTGCCCCTTTTAATGCTATTCCACCCACCCCCTTTCACCCTCCCCTCCCTCCCCCCCCCATACCCTTTCAAGCAGTGGGGCCAGAGAGGTTTGGGTGGACACGTGTGATCCTTCTGCGCTGGACGAGGCCATGTGTTGAATCTGAAGGCATCGTCCTGAGTGGTCATTGCAACTGGGAGTGAGTGGGGGTGGAATGGCGGGGGAGGGGGAGGAATGGCAAGCCAGGTCTTCACCTCCTCTTGGAAATTCCCACCACCACGCTCCACCAGCCCTGATGGGAACCAGTGTCACACAGACACACAGACACACACACACACACACCCCGGCTTGTGCACCCTTGGCAAGAAAACAGGAAGGTTTTCATGGAAAAGTTGCAGAGGCTCTTCTGGCCAATAGGGTCGGTCAGGCACAACACAGCTGACCTCTTCCTGTTCCTATCAAAGTTGATGGACATGTGTCGGGAGGAGTAAAGCACATGTGCGGGGTGTCCCCTTATTTATTCCTTGGAAATATTTTTTACTCTGCCCTTTTCTCCTCCAAAAGGACACAAAGAGGCTTACCTCAATAGAACACAATGTTTCACAGCAAAAACCAAATTTTATGAAACAAAAAACAATTACCCCAGTAAAACAATAAATAGAAGCCACCTCACAGCACATTTAAAACAACAGAGCACAACCGTCCAAGAAAAAAAAAACTCATTCAAACAGCCTGTCACTCAGGAAAAGCTTGCCAGAAGAGAAAGGCCTTTGGATGCTTGTGGAAGGACAGTCAAGATGGGGCCAGGCTGACCTCCAGTGGGAGGGAGTTCCAGAGTCTCTGAGAGCAGCCATGGAGAAGGACCTCCTCTCTCGTGTGCCTGAGAAGGTGGTGGGACAGAGAGAGAAAGGCCTCTCTCCTGATGATCTTCTTAACACTCGAGCAGGCTCATGTTTAACTTTCCTTAAGAAATCCAAAGGCTAGGACAGATCAAGATGAACCAAAAGGTAATTTAGAATTTATGAGGTCATCATCTCTCATGGAAAGCCAGACTAGATGCAGATGAAAGAGGAGTGAGCATGTCAATTATTGTCAATTATTGAAGGTATGCAGATGACACCATCTTACTGGCAGAAAGAAGAAATGACTTGACTTTTGGTGAAAGAGAAAGAAGAAAGTGTCAGAGCAGGACGGCAGTTGAACGTGAAGAAGACAAAACAAAACAAAAAGCAAGACGGCAGAAGAGTTGTTTGGATGACTTGACTTATTTTAAGTGTGGTTTTGGGCACAGAGGATCACCAAAGAAGCCACTGTTGGCAAAAGGACAGGAAGGAAAGGAAAAGCAAGATCACCACAATATCACAGCACTTTGAGAAATAAACCATTTTGGGTCCCTTCCAAAATGTTCCCTGGATGCTGATGTCCGTGGGGGGGGGCAGGCGGTCCACATCTGTGATGTGGCTTTATCTCTACCTCCCCCGCCCCCTCCTTTTGTGCTGGTGTAACATTTCTCTCCTCTCCTCCAAAGCAATTTGCACCCTGCTGGTGCTAATCCCCCAACTGGTTTAGCTGACCCCTGACCTGGGTGGGGTGGGGGGAAAAAGAGATTTACACTACATACAGTCCGGCTCAGCTTCTAGATGGTGAGGGCAGATAAGGTTCTGCACTTAGTCCTGGAGACAGCCCGGTGCCCCACCCACCCGGCTTATCAGGAGGGGGTGCGAGACCATTTCCATACCCTGGGGCGGGGGTGGGGGGTGGGTGGGGAAGAATATTCTTCCCCATCTCTGGAAACCAGGCCAGGAGAAAAATTTTGGAGAAACCTTTTGGAGGGAACCATAAAATAACGGAGCGGTGGGGCCTCGGTCTTCACCCCACCTCTCTCAGGAAGAATCCGAGGGGTGGGGTGGGCACCCTCGGAGGTCAGAGCCCGGTGACCTGCCAGGGAAGGAGGGTGGTGCGTGGGCAGGGTTTCGAAACCAGTTGGGCTACAACTCTGGAACCAGCCACCCCTGGCCAGGGGCCAGACTGGCTATAAGTATGCAGAAGGCTGTAGCCCCCCCCCCCGAAACCCACCCTCCCCCAAGTAAATACTGTAGTTTCAAAGCCAGGCTTATCTTTGCCTGGGAAGACCCTTTGCCTTCTGGAGAGGCCTCAGGGCTGAAGGGAAACCCAGACAGGGCACCAGAAAGAGCAGCCCTGAGCCCTTCCCCAGAGAGCCCTGTGACACGGAAAGATTTGCAGAGCGCCATGGGGGTGGGGGCTGCCACTCTCTCCCTCCCCCCCCAGCAAAAACCACATATACACAGACCAGAATGAGGGTTGCAAAGATGGAGGGGGCAAAGAGAAAATCAGAAGAAGTCCACATGGATGGTGCCCCAAAAAGAATATCAATGCAAGAACAGGTTTTTCAGACTGCTAAAATACCCTTTTCCTGCCCCTAAAAGCCTTCCACGCATGGGGCAAGTCCTCTTTCCAAGCCTCCAGGTTTCTGACCATCCTGACTTCTCGTGCCGAAATGCGGAGAGGCCCTTCCCTTCTCTCCCCCACCCAGAATCTTCAGCCCTTCGGGATCAACAGAAGAGTCCTGGAGGCAGCGGGTGCTCAGGGTCTGAGCTGGGGGGGGGGAATGACACGTCAACCCAACATGTTGAGCAGGGAGTGGAAGGAGGCCGGTGGGCAACGGTGGTCGGCCAGTGTGGGACCAGAGGGGCCTTGGACCCAGTTCGGTTCTGAATCGGCACTCAGCGGGCTGTGACTGAACCAGGAAAGCTCCCTTCTCCCCCTCAGGCACAGTTTGGGGTCCTTATTGGCCTCCCTCCACTCCTGCAACATCCTTTTGCTTCTTCTAGATATATTTTTTACAAAACGTTCATTTTGTTGTTGGGGGTGGCCAGCCAGGCCTGCATGCTTCGTGGATGCTCCTTTTATCACCCTTCCTTTTTTTAAAAAAGGTCATTATCTGAAGAAGACCTGGATCATCTCTTACTTACGGGCATATGACAGCCATTTTCACACTCTTGTCTACAATTTATCTGCGCTGTCCATGAAAGAGGGGCGCTTTAGACCCCGAGGAAGCAGATTCCATCCAGAAAAGTTTGCTATGTGTTTGGTTTTTTAAGTGGTCCAATAACAGGTCTCCCCCTCTCTTGCATTTTTGCGGTCTTGGGGACCACACAATCTTTCCCTTCGTCTATCCGCCCCCCCCCCGAAAACAAAAGGGGGCTCATCCCCCATATAAAGCCGGAAAGCAGAACCACTTTTCGCCCCTGGATTTGTGCCGGTGCCAGGACTGAAGCTTGATCCAGGAGGTGCAACTGCACACACTCAAGAGTCTTCATTTCAGAGGGTGTGTGTGTGTGTGTTTGGAAGGCATGGGGTTTTCTCGCCTTTTGATCTAGTAGAGTATCTGGAAGACAGAAGCCACTGCGTGCGGGGGGGGGCGGGGGGGAGAAGACGCCGGCTCCTGGTCGTGCTCGGCCGCCAGAGTTCTGCCCATGACCCTCCTTAGCCCCCTCCCCCAATAAAACCATTAACTTTAGTGCCTGAAATGATCTGGGACCCAAGAGGGCCACCAGAAGAAGAGCGAGAGGAGAGGGACGTCCCCTCTCCATGATCCCCTGAGCTTGCCTGCCATCTGACCCACCAGCGGCCGTGACCCCCATCTTGTGGCCCCCCCCCCCCCCCCGCTGTCACTTTATTTCCAAGCCTCAGGTGAGAAATATGTCTCTTTCTCCAGGTCAAGCACAATATTCTCTCTCTCTCTCTCCCCACATAAGCACCACTTTCGATTTCCACCTTGCAGACAGAAGCAAGTCACTAAAAAGACGATGCAGAAGTGCCGAAATCTGTCACCATTCCAGTTTCTGGGCAAAGAGCAGAAACTTGAATAGGAGAATATAAATCTAAAGGTAAGAACTGCTTGCAACCAGGCGGATGTCCCTTCGGGCAATTTTTCCAAAGGGAGGCCTACTGTGCACCATCCTTCCCTCGCATCTCCCCTACTCCCAGCCCCCCCCAAACCAGGACGTTCTGCAGGAGAGCCCAGTCTCATCTGAACAAAGCTGGATTGTAGAAAAAGTAGATTTGGTGGAAATACTGGGTGTGTGGGTTTTTTTGAGAAAAACATCCATTTGGGAAAGTGGCAAATGGAAAGCCATTCCTGGGGCATCTCACCCTGCGGCTGCCCTAATTTGGAGGCAAGGGGGCTGTGGGTTGCAGAGCCTGGAGTTGGGGGGAGAAAGGGGGGGAATGAGTGGGGGGGGGGGGGAATCAGTGGCTTCTATGCAGGAGAGGAGGGTGAATGAGCACAGGGTGCCCTCCGAGGTCTTTGGAGCATCTGATGGGAAGGTTGCCTCTTGGGGGAGTGCTTCTATGCGGGAGAGGAGGGTGAATGAACACAGGATGTCCTCAAGGGTCTTTGGAGCATCTGATAGGAAGGTTGCCCCTTGGAGGAGATGAGGGGGCCTGCTGCTGAGCAAGACTCTCTCTCCCCCCCACCCCACTCCACCAGTACCAGGTGCAGAAAACCTCTTTGCATGAGAACAAGACTAGATAGATGAGCCCAGGGCTAGAAGACCATTGCATGCAAAATCCTGACGGTGCAGGAAGCCAGAATGAATCCTCCCCCACATTCAGAAGAGAGGGGTGCATCCTGCATTCACAGGGCACAGAGTGCCAACCCCAGAGGAATCACAGAGATGGGACCAAAGAGGAAGGGAAGACCTCCTCTGGGGGAGAGGCCAACACCATCATCCCTCGGTGGGCTCAGCCCCAGAGTTGGACCAACAAAGTTTGTGTCTGCCCCATAGTAAGGTGCGCCTCTTCGATCCCATGGGGCCCTGAAGGCAAGGGGGCCCAAGCCTTTGTCTGTTTCCGTGGGCCTGTGCTTTAGGCCTTCTGGGCTGGCTTGCCCTCCTCCGCTCTCCTCTTTATTTTATTTACGGGCTCCCTTTCCCCCAAGATGGCTTAGCAGCTGTTGGTCAATAAAGTACTGCAGAGTCCTTTATACATCCTATTAATCTGGCTATATTTTGGAAGCACTGCTGGATCAGGCGCGTGCTCAACCGTCTCAGGAACCCTCTCCATTGCAACCGAAATGGGATGAATGCAACCATGGAGAGCCCTTCTCCTTAGCAGGCCAGCAGCTGCCCAGGGCATTATCCCCCCCCCCCAGTTTCACTCCAGGCAACATCTGGCTGGCATGGCACAGACGGGTCCCATCACTCTCTTGGATGTGGCTTGGCCAGCGGTCTCGCTCACTTGCTGTCTCTAAACAGGTACACATTCCCTTTGCATTGTCCTCCCCCCCACCCACCCCAAGTTTCTGGTGGACGATGTGCTGCTCCAGATGCAGCGGAAGATGCAGGCGCTGCTGGCCTTTCTGCCCGGGATCCGCCACCCGCGGCCTCTTACCTGGGACAGCTTCAGTTTCCGCTCAGGGGACGCCTGGATCACCAGGGCGATCATGGCCAGGTAGGTGTAGGGGGGCTTGGGGTGGCGGTGGTACTTCTTCTTCCTTTGGGGCTTCCGGGCCTCCTTGGGAGCCGGGGGCAGCTTGGCCGGCCTGGGGTCCTGCCCCTCCTTGGCCCTCTCCTCGTCCTCTTCTTCCTCTCCCTCCTCTTCCTCCGAGGTGCCCGCGCCTAGGCCAGAGCTTGGGGCCAGAGCGGAGGCCCCACTCCTTCGCTCGGGGCTGCCCCTCTTCTTGGGCATGGGGTACCAACGCTGCTCGGGGCCAGCCATGGCTCCCAAGGCAGAGGAGGAGGAGGAGGGCCAGCAGTTTCCTCCTGCAGCTGATCCAGGGAGAGTGGAAAACATCTCCAGCTGAGGACAGGAGGGAGAGAGGCTGGGGAGGGCCAGCCCTTGCTTCTTCTCACCTTGGCTGGGGCCATTCAAACTTTTATCATGCTGATGGGCTTAGCCCTCCAAAGCCCTTCTGGCACCTGGGGGGTGGTGGAGGTGGTGGTGAGGAGGGGCCAGAAGGTGGGGGAGGCGAGGAGGTATTTGGGGGGGGGTTGTTTCTTTTCTTTTTAAAGGGAATCCACATCTCTCTGGGCCAAAGGAAGGGCGGGTCTGAATCTGAGATGCCTACAGGCACGCGCGCACACACACAAACACCCCAGCCGAGGGTTTGTCTCCCTTCCCCCTGGTGTCCTTTCTGTGCCAGGGAACGTATGCCCATGTATGTTTGTTTCTCTCCAAAAGAAATGCCACGCGTGGCCTCCACCACGCCCAGAGCTACCACACCCGTGGCTTTCCTTTGGGCCCCTAGAACTGCGAAATGCAAGATCTGATCCGGACGTTAGTCACTTTTTTGGAGAAAAGACAGAGAACATCTTTTGTTCCCTCGGAGAAGGTGATACCGGAGGGAGAAGGACGCTTTCTCTTTCTCATCGGTTGGCCACAGATTGGTCTGAAGATGTGGGATGGCGTCCGGAAAACTTACAACAAGGAAACCTCCTTCGCCTTGAAGATGCCACAGAACTGTTGGGGTTTCTTGCGAGAGGCTAGCTCAGTTACAACCCTCTCCCACCCCCAAGGAAATCCATGACGGTCTGTTTGCTGGCCTGAAGCGTGAATTTGCAATAAGCCGGTGGTTGCCTTCACAGCATCCGAGGCGCCTGCTTTGTTTCTGGGCCCTAGACTAAACTTTCCAATGACATTTGGTTCCCGCTTTGTTTCCTCCTTTTGCATCGCAGCCTAACTATGGTTATCAGCACGTCTTGTTTTGGTGCATGGTCAGTGTTCTCCTGGATGCTTGCAGAAACACTTTCAGTTTTATCTTCTTCAGCCTCTGTAGTTCACGCATAGAACTGAATGATGGTTATACTGATAGGTTTTCCATTAGTCTGATGGACATTATTCAGTCAGACTTTCCATTATAGCCCCTAACTGCCTGTGCTACGTCTTGCCTATGAGGAGAAAGGTGGCATATAAATGATTTAAATAAATCAATTAATAACGGCCTCCATATCAAAGCCACGGCATTTCTTCTGAGTTTGTCATTTCCAGAACAGAACATTTTTAGTTGTCTGAAACTGAAAATATCCAATTCACTTCAGTTATTTTCCTTCTCCACGTTCTAGTGTATGGTGCCGCATTGGACTTCATAAAAACCATAGAATAATGGAGTTGGAGGGGGTCTCTAAGGCCATTGAGTCCAACCCCCACCTCAGTGCAGGAACACAAATCAAAGGATTTCTGCCAGATGGTCGTCTGAATTTCTCTTGAATGCCTATAGTTTTGGAGCACTGCTCTCCACCTCCTGAGGTCATGGGTTCCACTGTCATACCGCTCTAACTGTTAATAAGTTTCCCCTGATAATTCAGCCTAAATGTGGCTTCATGCAGCTTGAGCCCATTACAGTAGGACCCCGTATCTACAGGATCAGTATCTGTGGTTTCACTTATCTATGGTCTGAAAATATTAAAAATATTAAATGAAAAAATCTTGAAACCCCCCCCTCATTTTCACATGTATTACTAAAACTGGCCACTGGAAGGAGCCAGAGACTCATAACCCTACGAATTCATAACCCTATGAATTCTTGTTGTTGACATGGTCTCTGGCACCTTCTAATGGCCAGTTGTGATAATGCATGTGAAAATATTTTTTCTGGATTTTTGTTACCACGCGGTATATAGCGTTCACTATCATTCATGGTTTTCAGCATCCGCGGAGGTTTGAAACCAATCCCCCACAGATATGTTTTTTTTTTACTGTATTAGTGTCCTGCACTCTGGGCTGTTCAATAACAGATCCTGCCCCTCCTCTGTATGACAGCCTTTCAAGTATTTGAAGAGTGCTATCCTGTCTTCTCTCAATATTCTTTTCTCTTATAGGCCAGATGGGTGGGGTATAAATCAAATAAATAAATAAATAAATAAATAAAGAAAGAAAGAAAGAAAGAAAGAAAGAAAGAAAGAAAGAAAGAAAGAAAGAAAGAAAGACTAAACATGCCCAGCTCTTGCAGTCTTTCCTCCTAGGGCTTGGTTTCCAGCCCCCTGATCATCATCCTTGGTGCCCTCCTCTGAACGTGTTTCAATTGGTCAGCATCCTTCTCGAAGTGTGGTGTCCAGAAATGGACACAATACTCAAGGTGAGGCCTAACCAGTGCTGAATAGAGGAAGACTAGCATGTCGCGGGATTTGGAAACTATGCTTCTGTTAATGCAGCCTCCCCTGCCCTGGACAGCCCATCGGAAGGGAACTATGCTAGGACAAATATTTGCAGAGAGAGAGAGAGAGAGAGAGCGGGGAGCCCAGGCTGACCCGGCTCGCCTGCTCGGCCAGAGAGTGCCAGAGCGGCCAGCCCTTTCTTTGCCAGGCTGAGGGACACACCAGGGCAACTGCACCGCACCGCTTGGAGGCCCAGCCACTGACACACGTGGAGGCCTTCCGTGCCTCTAGGACGGGCAGAGCCGTCTGGAAGCACCCCGGGTGAACATGGGGCCAGTCTGAACCATTCCGGCTGGCCTACCTCGGAGGGCTGTTGTGCAGACGAAAATGCAGAAACGGCACGTACACCCCCCCCCGAGCTCACGGGATGAAAGGTGGGACCAAAGACAAAGACCTTCGGACATTTTGCCCGGGGCCTGCCTCACAAGGGCCAGGGGAATCCCCATTTCTTCCCTTCCACTTTGCACATTCTCCTGGCCTCCTCCCCAAAGCAATCTGCCTCACACCTCTTCCCTTCACCCTGTTTGTTGGCCCCGCCGGTAGTGACCTCTCGGCTGGGTCACTCTGGCGGAATTTCGGAATTTCGGAGGGGCCTGACCCCTCTCAGGGGCTGCTCCTTCTCTCTCTTTTTTTAAAATTATTTGTTCTCGCATTTCAGATGAAATTCCTCTTTTAAAACCAAATGTGTCAGGAGTTTCCCTGGCTCTTTCCCATTTACAAATAAATTGCATGGCGATCCCTCCTTTGTTCTGGGGGGGGGGAGACACCCATTGATCTAGTCAAGATGTGAATGGCCCATTCTCACATCCCTGCCCTCCCCCTTTGATGCTTGTCAGCAGCCTGGTCACATCCTGGCTGGAGGGGAGCCCCATCCTTTGGTACAGCCCCACAAACGGTGCCCTCAGGCCTGTTTTCACTTTGGAGGCATTCAACCCTGCGGGATATTGTGGTGCAGACAGATTACACTTCCCGGCTCCCCAGGGGCGATGCCTTCTCCTCAGACCTACCTCTCCCCTTTATCTTCACACCGAATGATCAGCTGTAACAATCTGTACTTTCCGTTTCTTATGGCGAGATGCAAGTAGTTCTGCTCTCTACAGTTTATAAGTTCCATCATTTCTTGATCTTGCATTGATTAAAACGTTGGTATTTCTTTGTTTAGTCGCCCTCTGAAACCAGGGCATTCTTAGCATTGTGGGGTGGGAAAAAATCCACATTTCAAACACTTCTCTTTTTGTATAATTTGTTCTTACATGTCCTCAGGTCCCTTTCAACTTACAGTGACTTGAGGAATGAGCGACCTCCGGCATGCCTTGTCCTCCACTCTTGTAAACCCAATCCTGTGGTGTCTGTGGGTTTTTCGGGCTGTTTGGCCGTGTTCTGGAGGTTTTCCTTCCTAACGTTTCACCAGGATTGGCATCGTGGAGGTTTTCCTTCCTAACCTTTCACCAGGATTGGCATCTTCAGAGGAGAGGAGCTAGAATTGTCTCTGTGTTCTGGTCAAGCTCCTGACGGAGAAAAACCCACAACCGCCATCGGATCCCGGCCGTGAAAGCCTTTGAGAACACACCAACCCTGTGGCTTCCCTCGTGGAGTCCGTCAATCTCATATTGGGTCTTCCTCTTTTCCGGCTGCCTCCCACTTTTCCCAGCGCTATGATGTGCCCAAAGCAGGATAGCCTCAGCTTCAATATTTTTGCCTCCAGAGAGTGTTCAGGCTTGATTTCCGCTAAGGACCCACTGGTTTGTCTTTCTGGTGATACAGGTTAGCGGCAAAGTTCTCCTCCAGCACCATATTTCAAATGAATAAATCCCCCCCCCCATCCATCAGCTTTCGCACCCCTATGTGGGGACTGGGAATACAAGAATGTGGCATGATCTTGGTCTCGGTCTTCAGGGGCACCTCCTGACCCTTGAGTCCTCCAGCACCATATTTCAAATGAATAAATCCCCCCCCCCATCCATCAGCTTTCGCACCCCTATATGGGGACTGGGAATACGAGAATGTGGCATGATCTCGGTCTCGGTCTTCAGGGACACCTCCTGACCCTTGAGGATCTTTTTCGGTTCCTTCATTGCTGCCCTTAACAAGTCTCAGATGTCTTCCGATTTCCTGGCTTCATCCTCCATTTGGATCAATGGTTGAACTAAAGTCAACAAAACCTTGGACGCTATCGGAGGCTTTGCTGTCCTCGATTAAGCACAGGATGATCTTTTTTTTCTGAAATCCTTTGGTGCCCTCCAATAGCCAGCTGATCTTTGCCATATGATCTTGAGCGCTTCTTCCTTTTCGAAAGGGAAGCTTGACCGTTAGGCCTTTTTCCGCAGGAAATCCTTCAAGAGGAAACGGGAACCAGCCTCCATCCTATCTGCTTGGATTTGGATTCCTGCCTTGAGCAGAGCGTTTGGGCTCGATGGTCTTCGAAGCCTCTTCCAACAGCATGATGCTTCGATTCTATGGGGCTGCCTATCCTTCCCCTCACCCCCCCCCACACCCGCCTTGGCCTAAGACCTCCTTGCATGTCAGGCTTGAGACACAATGCCGTAACTCATCACCGCTTTGGTTCCCTGGTGGCAACCATCCATCCATAGATTTCTTGCCCATGTTACAGACTCCTCTGTGATGGGTCAGGATCCAGAGGGCAGTGGGGGGGCTAACCATGTCTGTATGAAAGGAATGAAGCATGCGGTTGGAGGCTTCACTTCATGCACGCTGTTTCGTCTTTCCTCCTTG